AGATAGCAAAGGAGAAATATCTGGAGGTTTCTTTCTGTCTGTATGGGGTGATAAATTCAGGTGACCACAAGTTAGGAGTTCAGGAAGTGATAAGGCACAAAGAGCTAATCTGCATCTGACATGCAGAGCTGAGCACTTGATTTGATCATCACACACTGTATACACCCCGAGATTTGCTCCATGTTTGGTTTGGATACCTCTTACTTCCTGCATGCAACTTGGCTCACAATTTCAAGAAATTCATTGTGCATTTGAATTTCCTGCTCAGATTTCATGGCAGATTGGAAGAACCTTGGTACATCAGTGTTACATTCAGTGGCTTTTGCACTTCGTCTGGGCAGGGTTTTTCACTTATCAGCTAGTCCAAGCCCATGTCTGACAATATAAGTATTTGTTGGCTGAACTGAAGGAAGGAAAATAGGCCACTTGCCACATTTGAGGAGACTTTCCTCTCACATCCAAAGACTAAGGATAACGGCGTAAAATTTACTTCTGTCATGGTCAGGGTCCCTTTGGTTGCAAGAAAGAGAAATCCACTCCCGCAAGCTTAAGTAACAGGGGATATGTCATGAGGATTAAGGGAATCTCACATAATCCAGATGTAGGAGCTTGAAGGAAATGGAAAGTCAACTGTCACCCCCTCCACTATGATTTTATCTTGGTGTAATTTAATTTTCTCTTCCTATGGATAGATGCGGTGCCCATACATTGGCTTATACCTGATCCATTGTGGTGGCTCCAAAGTGGAGCTTCATTCTCCAATTTTAGATCAGCTTCCACTACTCATCTTCCTGCACCTGACTTCTTCAGTTCTGTTTTTCTTATTTCAAATTAAAAGAGAGAGAGAGAGGTGGCCAGCTCAGCACTGCTGAGATTAATGGCTTTAACAGCAGCTGTCTCTTTCTTTCCAGTCAACTGAAGCAGGTGGGCAGGGTCATGTGCCTCCTAGTGTTGTTCATCATTCTGGGCATGGGCTGGAGCAGGTTCCACAAGAGGGCAGGAGGAGCAAAGAAGCAACGGGCCTGCTGATTCACTGCCAAACATAATGACGTCTTCACTAAAACTAAAGGCTTACATTACATTGGAGATTATCTCCCATGGTCTGCCTGGTGTAACTATTCCTGAAGAAAGTTAGACTAAAGCAACAAAGTGAAAAAGATAAGAGATTGAGATGTGCATGAACCTTGGCCGTGGCTACTTTTGGTCTCCCAATTTCCTCCAGTTGGCTGGGGTGGAGGGAAATTTCCAACTAGCGTGCCTCTCTCTGGCTGGCTGGTTAACTCTACACCTCCAAACCAAAACTGTGTCCTCAGATGAGGGCAAACCTATTCCTGTGTACCCAGAGAAGGCAGGACCAATAAAACTAAAGCCTGCAGCTCCTCTGGGTCATCTTGTCTACATTAGGGGCTTTCATCTGTGTTGTGAGTAGTAAATGAAGACTCAGTATTAAGTCAACTTAAAAATAATGTAATAAATACTTTTCATTTAAATGTGGAACAGTTGTAAGTGATCCCACTGACCAGTAACATCCTTTGACATGATATTTGTTATTGTGCAATCACAGATTTTGAATAGCCTAAGGGCCCACCTTTCTTTTAGTGCCCCCAGGGGAAATAAAAAAAGCAAATCTTACCATGGCGTGTTTAATACTGGTCAATTTTGTTGTTTTATCTTGGTTTTACATTTTTATCTTATTTCTACACCATTTTAAAGGTTTTCTTTGTTTCATAGTATTATTTTTGCCACCGTGTGTCTATTTTCTGAAGACATGGTATTGAATGAGCTTTTAGGCTCATGTTGATTAACTTATCTATTTTCCTCTGCAGGAAGCAGCCATAAGTTGCTGGGTCCAGTTCAGCGATGGCTCAGTTACACCCTTAGATATTTATGATGAGAAAGACTTCTCCTTGATGGCCACATCCTTGGATGAGAAGGTGGTCTCTATCCACCAAGATCCCAAGTTCAAGTGGCCTATAATCGCTGCTGAAACTGAAGGACAAGGTGCTCTGGTAAGGGTTGAAATGGTGATCAGTGAATCATGCCAGAAATCCAAGCGGAAGAGTGTGCTAGCTGTTGGAACGGCAAACATCAAAGTTAAATTTGGCCAAAACGATGCTAACCCCAACACCAGTGACAGCAGACACACTGGGGCAGGTGTTCACCTGGAAAATAATGTCAATGACAGAAGGCCCAAGAAACCTTTGCAAGAATGGGGGAGTCCAGAAGGACAGTACTACAGCAGTTCTTCCATGGGACTCATGGAAGGAAGAGGCACCACAACAGATAGGTCAACCTTCCAGAAGAAGAACAGCCAGGAAAGCCTTTTAGATGATGACAGCCATTTGCAGACCATGCCCGTTGACCTCACCAGCTTCCCAGCCCAGGTGGATCTCCCCAGCAGCAATGGGGAAATGGATGAGAATGACCTTATGCAGGCATCCAAAGGGCTGAGTGACTTGGAAATTGGGATGTACGCTTTGTTGGGTGTCTTCTGCCTGGCCATTTTGGTCTTCTTGATAAACTGTGTGACCTTTGCATTGAAGTACAGGCACAAACAGGTTCCCTTTGAAGAACAGGAAGGTATGAGTCACTCCCATGACTGGGTTGGGTTAAGCAACCGGACAGAACTGCTGGAGAATCACATTAACTTTGCATCCTCCCAAGATGAGCAAATCACCGCCATTGACAGGGGCATGGATTTTGAGGAGAGTAAATATCTCCTCAGCACAAACTCACAAAAAAGCATTAATGGGCAGCTGTTCAAACCTTCAGGACTCACAATCACTGATGGGAAAGATCAGAAAAGTGAGCCCCCAACATCCCCTACCTCAAAAAGGAAAAGAGTGAAATTTACCACCTTCACCACCATCTCCTCAGATGACCCGTGCCCCGCAGGGAACTCCATAGTGATGAGCAGTGAGGATGACATCAAGTGGGTCTGCCAGGATCTGGAAGCTGGGGACTGCAGAGAGCTACATGACTACATGGAAAGGTTACATGAAAATGTGTAAGCCAGATATCCACAGACATTTTTCCCACTCACCTTTCGGCCTTTAATTCTGGGATGTATGGCAATGGTGCACCTGGGGGAGAATGAAATGACGGGACAAGATAAGGATGACACTGTCCATAGAGCCCCAGAAAAGGACCCTGGCTCAGCTGGGAGGCCCTGAGTTGGCATCGATGCACACATTCCCAAGTACGATGTCTTGCTCAAAGTTCAGAGGTTTATCGTGCATGGCAAGATTTTTAAAACTTGGAACAAAAATGAATTCTCAATCATTGAGCTTCTGAGAGTTTCCAGGAAAGAGCAGTTTTTCTCTCTCTCTTTAATCAAAGCAATTTAGGTATTGCAAAATCCACATGGCTCCAATATCCAATATTGCAGACTATGGAAGAAAAGCAAGACTCAAGTTGGGCATCCATGGAACGATGGGAGCAAGTGTGGTGTTGGAACTAGAGCGGCATATCTCACTGTGAGTGTGTTCAGAGGCAGAGTCTGTGCCATGGTCAGCTCTAGGAGACATGATTGTGAGTTATTATCTCCCAAAGACTGAGCCAACGTCAGCCCGGGTTATTGACAGACCAAGGCAATTGCTGACAAGGACTGAAAGAGAACAAGTGGGCAAATAGGCCACAAAGATCTCTGTAACTACATGCCGAGAGCAAACAGATGCAAATCCTCTGAGCAATTCAGAGCATTCCTTTTCTGGTGAACTAAGGATCCTGGGCATAGAATTTCAATCAGGTTCAAAGAACCAGGCTCCTTTTAGCAAGTTCACTATGTCTAGATTGGTACCTCTCCACGACATTGCTATATTTCCAAAAGCTGTTGGTATCTGTGAGAGGAGCAGCAGAGGGCAGTTTCTAGTATTTCCTGAGTCTCTTTCTTTGTCCTGGGCTTTGTGTCAACTCCCAGGTGACCTTCCATAGAGAAGTCCCCACTGGGTATACTTTACACATGGTCCATCTTTGCAGAGGCTGATCTTTGGGGGCTAAGTGGTGTTTACCGTGAATTCAACACCAAGTGATGTACATTGCCCTCACTTTTCTAGAAAGAAGAGAGGGACATTCATGTCAAGTCTCCTGCCCAAGAATTTGCCCTCGAGGCTGTTGAGACAAGTCAGAGTGTCCATGTGGACTATGCAGGGTGTGCAGAGCTGGGACCCCGAGTGTATGGGAGGTGGGCCCCACGGGAAGCCTGGCCTCCCACCCGCAGAGTGTAAGCCTCTTCCTCGGAGACACTCTGTCTGAAGGCGGCCCTCTCTCTCTTTGTATTTTCACCTCTGTGTCATTTTCTCTCTCTCTCTGTTCTTTAGATCTCTCTTTTGTAATTTCTCTCTTTCTGTGTGTGTCTCTGTCTCTCTGAATCTGTCTCTCTGCTTCCTGTCTCTGAGAATGTCCTAAATGTCCCTGTGATTCTCTCTCTTTCTCTGGGTGTATGTGTCCCTTTCTCCTTTTCCTTCACTTCCTTTTTCCTCTTCCTCCTCCTCTTTTCTCCCTCTCCCTCCCCCTTCTCTCTCTCTTCCTACCTCTCTCTGTCTCTTTCCCTTGATAGAATTGGATTCTCCTTGGATAGTGCGTGCGTAAATTCCACCAATTTACCCTTTCAACCTTAGCACTCTCCCTGCCAACTGTGGTGCTATCAGTTTGCTCTGAGACTGAGATTCCTGCAGCCAGGAAGTCACCTGCAATTTATTTACCGTGTTTGGTTGGTGATTAAACTGCCACTCCTTTCCGATGACACTCTTTCACTTTCAGCCGACTCCTCCTTTTTCTTTCCATTCTTACCCATGTGAAGTTCCGTTTAATACCACAGCCACTGCCCACTCCCAAAATCATCTACGTGTAGAATGTACTGTAGATTGTAAGAATGTAATATATATTTATAAACTGACAGACTGTAAATATAAAGTTTGCACTCAGTGGTTTACGGCTGTCCTTTGTCTTTCTAACGGTGACCCCCTCCAAGGGGCTGGCAGCAATTGCAAATGGCTATCCAGAAAATACAAAAAAAAAGCTTTGGCTTTTGGTAAATGCAAATGCAGATTTAAGGATCCTGGCACAATCCAATTACACTCTTACATCGTGTAATACTCCTCTCTGCATCAAGGGGAGTTGACACATGATGACAAAGTGCATTGTGCTCTAAGTATCTCTCCTTCAGGACCTGAAAGGATTTGCAAATAAATCACATGTGCAATTCTCT